CTTTTTGGTTTACATTTGCTGAAGATAATATATTATGCTAGTTTTTCATCACCATGCTTCTGTGCATATACCAGGCTAGGAAAATGACATTGTTTCATCATCAAATTAGAGAGTTTATACTGCCTAAAATTAAATTCAGAGCCAGGAAATTACAGCTAGATTGATGGTTTGTTACTTCAGCAAAAACACAAGGGCTTCAAAGGGTTGGCAAGAAGCTTGTGCTCATCTCTCCTGTTCCTGCACAAGGGCTGTGGGATCTGCTGGCAGCCTGTGGATTGATCCGAGGTGCCAGACCTGATGTCAGTGTGTGAGTCGTGCCACAGACTCTTGCTCATGAGGCCTCTCCCCTCACCCAGAGCAGAGCCCAGGGCTGGACTGATGACCCCAGCTGCCAGCTGGGACATATTTTATGGTGATAGTCTGTCCCTGAGAAACGCAGAGAAGCGGAGGAGAAGGCAACAAAGGAAGCAGCAGCCTACCTGAAGAAGTGCAAGAAAGCTGAAGCCATGGAAAATGCCTGGGGGAAGACAGCAGCAATCTCTGTGCCCAAGAAAGCCAGTGATAATCCCCAGAGGGTGAAACCTGGCAAGCCTAAAAAGACAGCCAAGAGCTTGCCTAAAGGAAAGTGGTGAGGCCAAGGCTGCCAGGTCTGAAATGAGAAGCATGGGAAGGCGATGCCCAAGAAAATGGTCAAGCCACTTGGAGGCTTTGAGCCAATTTAAATCCAACACTGGTTGTGGGAGGGAGGCAACTTGCTGGCAGGTCACACTGCATAGCCCTGTGGCTGTGCCCACCCCAGCTAGCACCTCATGCCAGGCACTGCCCCATATTTTGGGGCCCAACATGTCACAGGGTGTGTTGGCTCAAAGCTCCAGGACCCACATGGGTCATGGTCTCCACCAAGACAACCAAGATTTCAGCTTCCCCTTATCTAGAACCCCAAACCTCGCCCTTGGAAACCCTCCTGTAACAAGAGTTAGTTTCATGTTTCCAGTATAGCAAATAGTCTGTGAAGAGGGCTAGATACAATTATTTATTCAAGGTTGGAAATAAAAATAGTAAATATCAAATGTCTGAGATGGAGAAAGTCATCTTCAAAAGAGTTACTGGGAGAAGATAAAGATACAAAAAATAAGTTTTAGTTAGACATTTAAGCAGTCCAGTAACCATCTTTCTATTGATAGGAAACTTTCTAACTTTTTTCTTTTAGATAATCTAGCTATTATCCACCTCTGTGTCTAGCAGAGTATTTGAGAGGTGTATGCAATGGTGAAATTGTGGATATAAATATTTTAGTGCTCTTTTCTGCAGGGCAGTGTGCTATGAGATAAAAATGTGAACACGATTGGGTTTTTTGTCAAGGAGGCAGATTTCTGTGGTATTAGTGTAAGTTCAGTCTACACAAGGCAGGCAACATCCACGTCCTTGTGCTGATAAGGGAATTAGGTGAGCCACTAGAGGGAGTTCCGCACTCTTACACAGTGAATGAAAGCATACTGAAAATAGCTCTAGGATGTTAATTAGCAGTTTTTGTCTTGGAGAGGATCAGCTTCAATGACAGGTGACACAGACAGGGCAAGTAGGTAGTACTCCAGTTCCTTCCTCAAGCTTTTCCTCCTTTCTTGTGCCCTTTAACAAAAGTGTGACTTACAATTTCCTGATTCTGACAAGCTATCTTGATGTCCTTTTTTTGTACTTACAGCATACAATAAACCTTATTTGATACCACATCAATTTCTTGAACCTGAAAGAGTCAAAGAACTGAGCACATCCTCTCCTCTCCTGTTGTCTGAGGTGGGTTGATGCCAGAAATGGCCTAAGCATTCCCTGAATGGCAGCTGGTGTCATGAGAATGTTTCTCCTGGAGACCAAAAGTACTTGCTTTAGAGAATGCCTTGGTTATGTCATGAATAAGTGAGAAATGCCTTAAGAAGAAAGCCCCCAATAACCCAGAGCATCCTGGAGAATGTTGCCCTGTGTGTCAAACCACGCTGTTCTGTGCCCTTTCCCAGAGCCCAGGCAGGGCATGCAGCTATGTTTGGAGGCAGTTAATGATGATGTTCAGTGCTAGTTGGAGGGGATGCCCTGGGGAGGCTCCCTGCACTCTCCTCTGCTCTTCTAACCTGATCTCTGCTTAATGGGACACTACTGAGCGATTCCTTTTTGTCTCTGGTGTTGCAAACTGCTCGTTCGGCAGAGCTTAAAGATGCTTCTTATTTTCTGAGCAGACTGAATCAGACACGGCTTCAGAAATCAGCTTCCAGTTTAACAGGCACAAAAAGACACCCAGCATTGGCAGCCACTCATCTGACATGGCTTCTGTCTCCTCGGTAGGTACTGCACACTGGTGGCTCCTGGGCAGGGCTCCTCAGTCAGATGCAGTGATGCTGTATTTAGGCTGGTGTTGATGATGTGATCTTCAGAATATCCTGTTGGTTTCTGCCAGGTACATTATTAAAGGAATAGGGGTGATTAATTACTTGCTCAGGTTAAAGGAGTGAATCCAGATACCACCTCAAAATAGAGACCCATTGAGTCATTGTTGGTCAAATTCCCCTTAAGTGACAGCCCCTGCTCCCAGGTGTAGATGCTCTGAATCCTGGCAGTGCAGAAGGTGGGGGATGGGGTTTCTAGGTGAGAAAATGAGGCACACAGCTATTAAGGGACATGTTTGTGGTTCAGGACTGCAGATTGGGTGCCCTCTGCAAGCTCATCCTTTATCAGCAGGTAAGAGGGAACTCAGAGTTGGACAGCAAAAGCATGCTTTAGAGCTTCAGCTTCTGAGGAAATCTGAAAAAAGCTGAATGTGTTGAGTGTTTTAAAGATTCCTTAGAGAGAGTATTTGGGGGGGAGCTGCTTAAAAGTGCTTGAATTTGCTTTGTTACTGTTATGGATTTCTCCAAGGAGTATATTTGAGATTTACAGAATATTTGTGAAGCAAAGCTGGTAGGGAGAGGTCATGAATGATAAATATGTTAAAATCTTTGGGGTGCATGAGTTCTTCTAATCTAATCTAATCTAATCTAATCTAATCTAATCTAATCTAATCTAATCTAATCTAATCAAATCTAATCTAATCATCTGGGACCTGCAAATTAGTCCAGGTCATGCAGGTGTTCTTGAAAATCTCATTCAGGATTCTTTGCTAGGGTGAGTATCCTGATGGGGTGGTAAATGCAGCTCCAAGGACTGACAGGAGATGTTTAGCAGTTTTTTGGAGGTTATAATAAAATTCAGAACCAAAATAAGTAGGGAATGACAGAGAAGAATTGGGTTAATTACTAGGAAGGCTTTTTGGTAGGTGTTCATGACAGTACCACAGAAAAGTGCCAAGAGGGTTTGCTTTGTAAACAGTATTAGCTTTTATGATATCCTGTCCAGAATCCTAAATGATTGGTGCAAGAGAAAATTGCTTCACCTTTCTGTAGCTAAGCTTTGCTTGGGCTTCATGACTTTTTACCCGTGAAAGACAAAGACTTGAAAAAAGAAGCCCAAGTTGTCTGGGAAAAATGCAGTTTGTTCTGGGAAAGCAAATAACTCTTGGGTGCCTAGCTCCAGATCTGTGCCTTTGCACAGGCTGTCTCTGGTGGGGCAGTGGCTCTTCAGAACAGGGTTGTATTTATTTTGTGCTGCTCCTTGTGAGTAAGCAACAAGACAGGAATAGTTCTTCCTACATTTCTAGTCTGTTTTATAAATAGATTCACAATTGTGTGACTATATCCACCTGAAGTAACAAGTTCTTATAATACGGTTCAAGTTCTCTCAATATCTTTCTTTGTTAGTGATGAGATTGGGTCAGGATATAAATTATTTGCTCTGTAAGCATAGGGAAGAGACATGTGTGGTCCCCCCAGGAATATCTGAGTATATTTCCCAAAGTTTTGGGATTTAGGAGTAAAAAAACTTCTGTATTTCTTGAGCATTCAGTGCTTCTAAGTTCTGGTCTAGGATATCACATCCTTTTGAGACCCTTATTTGGATTCCCCAGCCCTGGCTTGCTTGAGAACAGCCACAGCTGTAAACCATCTCTGTGCCAAGAACACCACACTGCACAAGGACAGAAGCACCAGATTTTTTCTCTGGGAATGCATCTCTCAGACTATTGTCTTTGTCACAAAACAAGTCAGAAAGACTATCATCTTTGTTCAGAATCAAGTCAGACTGTGCCTGTTTCAGTGGTGCTGGCCTTGCTCTTCCCCCTGGCAGGTGAGTGGCAGTGTACTCAGTGTCTACAGCGGTGATTTTGGGAATGTGGATGCCCAAGGAACCGTGGAATTTGCTCTAGACTATGATGAGAAGAACCGGGAGTTCCAGGTCCATGTGTCCCAGTGCAAGGACTTGGCTGTAGTGGATGAGAAAAAAGGCAGATCCGACCCGTGAGTGATGTTTTAATGCCTTGTGACTTCTACATTGCTGAATTCTGTGTTCTGGAGGATTTTTATTTTCTTTAAATTTAATGGTTTCTTCCTTCCTTCCTGCCAGCTTACTAGAGATCTTGGCAATGTGGGGCAATATCTGATTTGTTTTCTAGGTATGTTAAAACCTACCTGCTCCCAGACAAAGCTAGAATGGGTAAGAGGAAAACATCAGTGAAGAAGAGGACAGTGAACCCCATTTACAATGAGGTCTTACGGGTAAGAACAAATACACACTCTGAAAACCTCTGTTGTAGTAGGCACCTCTATCAAGCAGGTCTGGAAAGATCCTGCCTACTTGTCCAGATTCTTTGCTTGCCTCCTGCCAGCACTGCACTGTTCTTCCCTGGGGTTTGAGAGGCCTGGGATGTTAAAGGTTCCTTTGCACTGATCTGTGTGGCACCCAAGATTTCTCTGCAAAAATCACACAGATCTTTGGATTCAATAGGGACTTGCAGTCAGAGCAAGGGCTGTTTGTCCTCCCCTTCCCTGGCATGCAGCCACAAGGCACAGGACTGGTAAGCAGGGTCTGCATTATGTGATCATACTTATCAAAGCGTAGAGGATTTTATAACAATAAGTTGCTATTAACAGGCCTATGTTAATAATTCTTGAAAGAATATTGGTTTTCCCCTGTGATGAATGGAATTCCAGGTTTCCCTGTGCTCAGCAGAAAAGCTTTGTCAGGGTAGTAGTATTGCTACAGGACACAGAAAAGAGATGTTCAGACAGAAACCAGTCCATGAATAGTGCATGTGTGAGGTGAGCTTGAGTGTCTCGGAGCTTATACAAGCTTTTGAGTAGTTTATCTCTGTTTGTGAAAGAAACAGAAGAAAAATTTGAACAATCTGACTTCTCTTTCTTCCTCTAGTACAAAATAGAGAAAATGGTATTGCTGATACAAAAATTAAATCTCTCTGTTTGGCACAATGATCCATTGGGACGTAACAGTTTTTTGGGAGAGATTGAAATAGACTTGGCCAGCTGGGACTGGAGCAACAGGAAGCTCAACTGGTACCTGCTGAAGCCCCGGGTAAGTGTGTCTCAGCTGCAGTCTTGCTTTCTAGCCCTGCCCTGAAGACTTAAGGGTGGAAGAAGTCCTTCCTGACTCCTCTGAGGTCTTTGGGTATGGTGGAGCAGGACAACCTCCACTGTACCAGGGACCAACCCCTGGACACCTTAGTACAGTATAGTGTTCAGAACAATCGCCTTCTCAGGTCTGTTTTGGTGACTGATCTGTAAGGACACTTTCATAAATGCAACCTGACACTAATCACAGCAACTATGTCATTCTCTCCACTTACATGAAGACCATCTCTTAAAAACAGCAGAGTACTAGGTGAAGTGCCTTGAGAAGTAAATATTTGGGTGCAACTGTTTGTAAAGCCTGAACCGCTTTCTGCATGCTTCTGGATTCACAGGTCTGATATGAGTTACCTTTTAAGCAAATAGAAGACATTTGTCTTTCAGAACCAAGGGCAGCCTTGTATTCTGAATCCTCAGGCTTTTGCCTTTGAGAGACTGAGTTTGAGAACAAACCCACAGAGAAACGATCTGCTCTAAAAATGGGCTGCTCTAGCCATGGAAAATCAGAGTTTGTCCATTGTGCTCCTCCACTGAAGTCAAAAGCTGTTTGCCTTGCTGTGTTTCCAAAATCCTCCATTTAGTCAGTCATAAATCTTTCTGTTTCAGAGCCTTTCTGTTGTTAATGGTGTGGATCATCGAGGAGTGATGAGTTTATCCATTAAGTATGTCCCCCCTGGAAGCCTAGGTAAGTGTGGTTCATGCATTAAGGGCTACTGCCCAAGTGCAAACACAGCTTGCAATGCCTCATCCGCTTAGGAGCTGCTTAAAGAGCAACCTCATTAGAGCAAGATCTTAGAGATCAGCTCAAAGGCAGTGTTTGACAGCACTGCCTGCAACCTACATCTGATTTCCACAGCTGGATTTTATGGGAAAGTGTTGGGGAGACAGGAAGGGCTCAACAACCTCCAACTCATCAGCTATTATGAGCATGTGGGCACTGTAGGGTGCTGTGATGTGGTAGGAGCAGCACAGAACCCATGTTACTGTGGGGCAGGCACAAGGTTATTTTGGCTTAGCAGTTCCTTCTCTTTTCCTGTATGATGCAGCACTGGCAGGTGATGTCAGGAGCCTCTGCAGCTGCAGGAGTGATGGAGCTGGCTGCAGTGCTGAGATCCCCAGGGAGGGGCAGTGAGCACACAGGAACCATGTGGGTTCCATGGGTCCCTGGAAAGAAGACCTGTCATTCTGGGAGCTATGGCTCCTGATTGGCATGACAGCTTTTCTCTTCTCATAAATGACAGGGCCCAAGAATCCTCCCTCTGGTGAAGTTCACATTTGGGTCAAAGATGTCAAGGACCTGCTGCAGTTGCGTCCATCAGGAGTTGACTCCTTTGTGAAGTGGTGAGTGCACGGTGCTGCTTCTGCTGTGTGCCCCCATAAAGGTCTGTGATTCCTGCTTTGTTCTCAGGCACACCAAGCTGTGCCTCCATACTGGAAAGTCTTTGTGTTGCACTGGGTGAATTGTAGGAGAGAATTGCCCTTGTTATTCACCTGTGGCCAAACTAGGAAAATCCTTGCTGTGATAAAGCTCTTGGTCAATGTTCAATGCTTCATGCTGTGTGTTTTCTCCTCTCAAAGCTATGTGCTTCCAGACACCAGTAAGAAGAGCTACCAAAAGACCCGAGTCATAAAGAGAGACACAAACCCCGTTTTCAATCACACCATTGTGTATGATGGCTTTCATACAGAGGATCTAAAGGATGCCTGTGTTGAACTCACTGTGTGGGATCATGAAAAGCTTACCAACCATTTCCTTGGAGGAATCAGGCTAGGCCTTGGGACGGGTGAGTTTTTCCTTTATAATTCAATACTGTTACCATCGTGCTGAGCCACAAGGTAAAGTGGGAAGTTACAGAGTATTTTCCTGTTGGAAAGAAACCAGGATGGGGTGTCTCAGTAACTGGTACCTGCACTATGTCTTGGATGGAGAGGGCCCTGGTACCATGGTAACAACCCTCTGTTCCCACATTTTCTGGCAACATCAGATCTGAGGTCTGGCAAAACTCAAGAATTTCCTTGGGTGCCTCAGAGAGTTTTCCTGCTGTTATAGAAAAGTGGGCTGCATGACAAACCAACATTATATTGGTGCTCCTCCCAGGCAAGAGTGCTCAGGGATGGACTGGAATTTCACAAGGGACAGCACCACCTGGTGACTGTCCAGCCTTGAAGTGCTCTCTGAGAGGTTTCACAACGTTGCAATCAAGGATAAGTGTTCCTTGGGTGACAAGGCTCCTGGTAGCTGGAATGTCTGCCTTGCAGGTGTACTGTAGCAATTGGATTTGCCTGTATGTTCTCTGTTTCCCACCTCTAATGTCACCAGGTGGGCTGTGAACTCTCCAAAGGGACATACCAAACCCAAGATTAGCTGTTATCTAACTTTAGACTTCTCTCTCATTGACAAGTAATTGGCACCTAAAAAATTTGGTTGAATTGAATTTCTGCTATGGTATATTTGATTCCTATAGAAATTAAACAAGAGAATTTTGATGAATACTCCATGTTGTCCACAAGAAAATCTTTTAAGGTGAAAACCAGACCTTTAAGACCTTCTTTACCATTCAAAAAGATGCAGGAAGGGCTTGAGCCCAATATTGCTTTCCTTGGCAGGTTATGTTTAGGGTTCTTGCATTTCATGGTTTTTGCAGTGACTTCATTCTGAACTCTAGTGTAGAATGGGCATTTTCAGGATAACAGGAGGTGCTCAGGGTGCAGCTTGCTGAGGGGGAGTCAGCAGTTTTTATGTTAAGACATTGCCTGAAGCAGTTACATCCCATTGAGTATTTTTGCATGGAGTAGGAACTCTTAGCTCCCTAAGCTTTCTCATTCTTTTCAGGTTTGAGCTATGGCATCTCTGTGGACTGGATGGACTCCACACAGGAGGAGGTGGCCTTTTGGCAGGAGATGATGTTGGCTGCCAATGAATGGATCGAAGGATTGCTGCCATTGCGCTCACTGGCAGGGAGGAAAAAACTGAAATAACCCATTGTTGGTGCCATAGAAATGCCCAGTGTGTTCATTAGAATTAGGAAACTTCCTGTAGTAGGGAGAAAGAGACCATCCACAGGGCCGTGTCAGGGTAATGAGGCAATGAATGGGCATCACCTTGGAGATGTTAAGTACTAATCCACTCACAGAGAACATGGAAGATGCCAAACTGATGCTGATTTTTCAAACATGATTTTGACCAAGAAAAACTTAATTTGCCTTTTTGTTTAATCATTTATGTATTCAGTATATTTGAATTCCATTAAGCTCTGGGAACATTGGCAGAAGGAAAAGGAGATATGAATACTTTTTCTTTTGCTGTTTTGCTGTTTCATGTGCCATTTTTCTTCTGTACAGAGATGTAGTTATACTGAAGCAGTAGCATAGTATTATTCATACTCCTTGCAAGGGGTACACTTTGTACTTGGTGTACAATTGCTCCAAGTCACCAGCATAGTTTCAGAATGGGAGCTTTGCATTTGTCATCCTCTTTAATGTGAGGAAAATTGAGTTCCAAGGTGCCTCTAAAGGAAGAGAGGACTAATTGCAGCAGAAAATAAAGAAATCTGAGGAGGATGACTGTGGAATGCCCCCGCCCAAAGAGGCGGGGATTTTATTTTAGGCAATGTTAAAGTGAGAGGTGTGGCTTTAAGTACCAAGATGACTGGATTCCACCCCTCTGCCTTGGGGGATGTGCCCAATAAGCCCGGGAAAAGTTGTTCCACCACAAAATCCCTCATGGGGTGCCAGCCCAAGGTGTTCTGCCCTTCTCGTGTCGTGATTCATTGTATTCTGCTGCATTAACCCCTCCTATTGTACCCCTATTGGTTTGTGTCCCTGGGGCTTCTCCCTTGTGTGTCCCTGTTAGACCCGGACCCTAAACCCCACCCTGGCTCCACCCCATAAAACCCACTACCTCGCCTCTGTTCGGGGTTCTCCATCTCTGGATTATGCTGGGTTAATTCCTATGTTGGTGACGCCCTAATAAATTGATTCCTGCGTTTAACTTAAATGGAGACCCATCGGTGGCTATACCTCCCTAGACATGATACTGTTGCAACACGTGATGCAACAGATGACAATGAGGCATTTGATATATTCATTTCTTTCTGCTTTAATCTGAAAGACTTCAGGGATGCTCTTAGAGATAGTGGAACTTTGCAAGCAGGGGCTGTTTTCCTGACTTTCCCACAGGCTTCCTCAGTGACCTCGGGCAAGCTTGTTTGTGAAAGGAGAGTTTGAATACAATATAAACTAAAATGTTTGCCCAAATGTAGAATATGGTTACACTGCTAATGGGACTAATCACACTTTTGCAATGCCTTGTCTGCAAAACATTTCAACATGAACTAATGAGATAGGAGACAGTCTCATGTTAGCCTGGCATCAGGGGTCAGGGATGAAAGGTCAAAACCACACTAGAATGCAGGAGATAGTGGGAGCTGGTGGGAGAGGTAAGTAGGAAGTGAGTGAATGTGAAGGGAGTGCAGAGCTAGTTTCTTGAGGATCTCCTGCCTCTGCTTCCCCTGCTGGCCCTCTAGTCTTCCTTTCACCTGATGCTTGATAGTGGGTGTCTGCAGCTGGAATTTCCCTTTTGCCAGTAGCTTGCAAAAAAACTTTGCATCTGACACATTAACCATAGTGGAGTGGTGTTGTGAATACATTTTGAATTGCAGCTTTGTAATTTCTATTTTGGATGTACATATTGTGATTAAATAGCATGTTTTTCTTTAGTCATCAGTTGGTTATCTTCTACCTATTTTCATCATGTTCTAAATAACAAAAAAGCAAGCAAAAGAAGTGTTAAATTTTGTTGTGTCAAAATGAAGCATTTTTGCCAAAGGGCAAGGGAAATGTCATGAAGAAATAATTTTTATAACTATCTGACTTTATATTTTGGCTCTCTGATTATTTTGATATTCTTCTTCAGTGGATTTATTTTATTTAACTCAAGCCTACTGTGAATTTTCAGCATAGCAAAGATGGTTGTAAATAAATTAATGGAAAAATGTACACCTTCCTTTAACAAGTAACAAGACTTTTTCTTTAAATGGAAACATTTGGGAGATAATCAGCAGCTTTCATGAGAAAAAATAAAGAATTAAAGTGGTATTGCAGTTGGAAAAAGACAGTACTTGGAAATGCACTGAACACAGTAATAAAAGCACTAGGAGAGAGTCCATAGAGCAATGGAATTAAGCAGTGACTGTCTAATGAAGGAGCTGATACATCTGTAATGTCAGCCTGAAAATACTTTGTAGGGGGTCCAGCCTGACATGTTTTATTTACCAAGATTTGGTCATTTATTACCTTTGTGGGATAAAATAACACTAATGGGCCTAACCTGAGAGTTTTAAAAAATACTTTCTTTACATTAGGTGCCGAACATGTGAATATTTATACATATGTATAACTTACCTACTGCGAGGAGCCCTGGTCGCAGGGGTGGGTGCTGCCTTGTTGCAGTGAAGTTACCCACGGAACTGCTGCTTTCCTCCTGGGTGCTTCCCTGTCCACAGGGATAAGGATATTCCTGCAGGCAGACTTTCTGCTGTGGCTGGGAAAGTGTTTGGTAATGCCAGGGGCTCTGTCTCAGGTCCAGGTCTCTTCCTGGTGGATTCAGCTGATTTCTCTCGATCATGAAAGCAGAATTAACCCACCTCCTTCTCCTCATGCATCATTAGTGCATGGCAATGTTGCCAAAAGTGCTGTTTGCATCGATGGAGCTGGAAATGGTTGTGTTGGTGTTTCAAAAAAATTAACATCTTTTTCATTGGTGGTGCCAGTAAGGGGAGAAAAAGGGGGTCAGTGGGCCAGTCATCCCAGCAGAGTTCCTTTTATGAACTTGGCATGAGACATTGTGAGACTGTTTTTGTATTCAGATTCCATTGAGGATCATCTGTTAATTTTTTGCTGGCTTGTTTATTTAAATTAAGCCCTGATTAACTTAAGAAGCTTTCTTTGGCATTTAATAGTTTATCAAAGTAAGAGATTACTCTGCCAAACCCCACACATTGCGACGGAAAGCCCGGAGCACTGCGGCTTCTCCCGAGGCAGCCCTGAGAAAGGCTGGGCCGAAGAGCGAGTGTGCGGCTTTGGGCAGGCGAGTGATTCCAGCTGGGCTCAGCGGCGGGCAGGCCACACGGGGAGAAGGGACGAGAAAGCTGCTCCAGCGTTCCACCAAGCACAAACCTTTATTCAGGCAGAGCTTCGGCGAAGGGAGCCGGCAACAGCGAATCCACCAAACAGGGGAAAGCCGGGGTATTTATAGGGGAGGAGAGGGCAGGGGGAGCCTGAGATACCTGTATTGGGGTGACAGGCAGGGGGGAGCACCAATGGGGCACAACAGTTTAACATAACTAACTCAAAGACCCCTGGGAGCAATACATTTTCTCTCTCTTACAGAGAAGTATCTTTTCTCCAAGGGAGAGCCAGGATCTCGGGCTCGGTGAGCTCCTCTGCACCCACAGCAGTAAAATTTGCTATGCTCTGTGTTTCACTTACTGCACAGAAAGCACTTTATCATAAAATGATTTAAGATACATTTCTTGCCAGTGTCCTGTGCAGAAGCAGAGTATCTTGTGGGTATAAGGTTAATGGCCTGTTTTGCATGTAGTTTATGACGCTGACATTTGTTATCTGTGAATGCTGAACCTAACAGAGACTCTGGCCTGTGAGTGTGTGCTGATGGCAACAGGAGTGGGGTTGTAACTGGTGAAAAAAAAAAAAGAAAAAACAAATGGAAAGTTTTCTGACTGTATTTACTAGTTCTTTGTAGAATGGGTCAAGCAAAGCTACATGAAAAGGTGAGACTTTGTGTTGCCAGTGAATGTGGTTTGTGTGTCTTGATTCCCTGCACACAAAGGTACCGGTGCCAGTGCTGCAGTGGGAGCTGACTGTGACCCCTGGGCTCTTGCT